TTTTATGCCTTTCCCCTCAGGATGTGATAGATATGGTTTTTGATTTACTATTCTGGCTGGGGGATGGGTGGCAGTTTTAGAGGGTCACAATTGGCCTTCACCATTCTGATAGTTCTTACCCCACAGGCCAAGGATCCAATATGGGGGTTACTCCAACTAACAAGTATGTCAATCTCAATTACATAGACCACCAGATGGGTCTATGAACACAAGAAACCCACCATAAGCTGGATCTTTGGCCAGGACTCATACACTCTTACTCTAACAGGACCATGATAACACTTCAAGTCTCCAGATCCCAAGTTAACTCAGACCCTGTGTCCAACAGTTTTTGAAATGTCTGAGCATTATCCTTCGCCCAGAATATAATTACCACAGTGAATGTTGGACCCTTTGGGTTAGAACTAGGGGAATGACTAAAGTGGACTTGCCATGGTACTGCAGGGTCCTTTTCCTAGTGTTCCAGCCACCTCTGCGATCAACAGGATCTGGTCTGAAAACTGGTTCATGTCCAGAAATTGGGCAAGACATCATGACTGGTTATTGAGGTGACCACCCTTAGCCTCCTACTCATTCATTTTTGGTCTTGGTCTCTTTTGATTTTTTATATATATATATATATATATACACATATAAAATTCTCCTCTGCATAGCTTTCAAATGGCTGAATCATCATACAGACCACTTCTTCCTTCTCCACCCACCCATTCTCTCAAGTCACCACCAGTGAAATATTTAACAATGGGACCACCAGCACATGTTGGAGGCTGCCCATACTCCACCCAACTCCTAGGATGTGGCTCTTATTGCCAGCTGGGTGAAGGAACAATCCATCCCCAAACTCCATCTTACTAATTAATCTCTCAGACCACTCCTGGAAACAGATACTGAGATGGAGCTAGAAGTACCAAAGTTTCCTCAGGGAGTAGGACTTGTGAAAAGAAAGAGGTAGAAGCTGGAGTGGGCAGGGACAATTCTCCAACTATGATGCAAACCTGCTAAGCTCTCCAACCACAAATGCAGAGACCTGCTAAAACCTCTGCCTGCTCAGTGGGGAGCTCCAGAGCACAGACTGCCCATTAGACAAGTGCAGCATTGGGCAGAAATGGCTGTTGCTTGTGACACCGCCTTGTTAGGTTGTTGGCTGGAGGCCACCCTGAAAAGGATGTGACCTCAGCTGGAAGGCTGAGACTGACTCTGAGGGAGGCTACAGCTGAAGCTGTCAGCTCACCACATGCTTAGCAGCTGGGTGGTGAGTCCTTTCTCGAAGAAGTATCTGAGAGGAGCATCTCCAAGTGTGCCACACAGACAACGACGAGACAGTCCGAGAACTACTTTTACACAAGACTGTGCAGAGTGCAGTCGAAACATAGGGTCATTTCTCTGGTTAACAAAGTGATGTTGGAGAGAAGTTTACCAAGAAGATTAGGTGAGTGGGGGTGGATTTTGTAGAGGAAACCAAATATTTAAAGACCAAGGCAATGCAAAGGATGGGCATGTCTAGAAAAATACAGAGAATCTAGCAGAGCTGAAGAATAATGTTGGCAGGTAGAGGGGTGCAGGCATGAGTGATAAAAGGGGACAGGTCACGCAGGACATAGTTTTCCTGGCCACAGAAGTTCAGATTCCAGCCCACAGCCAACATAGGGTGCTTGGAGAATGTTCATCAGGGAAATTATATGATCAGATGTGAATATTAGCAAGACCTCACTGGCAGATGCATAGACAAGAGAAACCAGGAAGTGGAGAGGTCAGGAATGGTCAGGATGATGCTGCAATGATCCAGCAGAGAACCAAGGCAGGGTGGTCAGATGAAAAGGAAAGTCTACCTCTGCAGGAGACTGGCTGGACGTGGTCACTGACTGTGGGAGGGAAGGAAGGGAGGACCCCAGGCCTGGGCCCTGGTTTCTGACTTGGGTGTCCGGTTGGCTGTTCACTTTTCCCAAAAGACCTTGATCCATGTGCTTTCCCTTTCTCCCCCAATTTCCTCTCCCCCTTGGCCTGCCGTCTCTTCCCCCAGCCTAGGTCCCTCACATCATTAGACATCGCTCATCCCCAGTCCACCTGATGTATCTCTCAGCCCCGAGCTTTGGGGTTCTCAGTCCTATAGGAATGGGTAGTCCAGGAGCTAGGGCCCTCCCCAGAATGCCCAGACCAGCCCGTCTAGCCTCCCCATCTGCCCACTGTTCCCCTTGCTTCAGCCCTACTGAACTCACTCTCCTCTTATGATTTCCCACCCCAGGGCCCTCCACTTGCAACAACTAAGCCTTTAAGATCCAATTCAAGTGGCACCTCCTCCCTGATTTCTCAGCTGTGAGGGCATGTGTCCCCAGTCTCTACTGACCTTGCATGTTGTCCTCTGCACTCCCAGCTCTGTATGGTGGGGCTTCTACGCACTCGTAGGTCTCCTTCTCTCAATGTCAAGAACACACAGACAGTGTCTGTTCCAGGCAGGGCCTTGCTCAGAGTGGGGGTAAGAAAGTGGCAGGGAAGGAGCAAGAAGGCAGAGCTAAGACTCAGGGACGGGGACAGAACATGGGGGATGGTGCAGAAAGGCAGGTCCTGGCCTCTCAGGGCAGGAGGAGCCAGGCGTCAGTGGCTCCCCGACCACTACTGCCCTCCCCAAACCACACCCAGCCCCATGCCAACCTCATGGTTCTTAGTATCTACAGGGGCCAATGCTCTCCCTTCATTATTAATCACCGTGCTGAAGGAACACAACAAGCCACATCCTTCCCTTGCAGGGTCACAGGATCCTCCAGCTGCCTTCCCACTAGCCCCCGACTGGGCCCAGCCTGGACTGTGCCTTTTTCTGGGGTGAGAGTCTCAAAGGATGTGCCTTTGTGTCACCCTAAAAAGCCCACCAAGGTTTGATTCACAACCTCTGGGAGTGACCAGGCCCCAGGATGTCCTTGCACCCGAGGACACCAGGTGACAAGGTGTTATGGGATCATTTCTAAAATGGGCTCAGGAACTTCTCAGAAGGAAAAGTTGACAGAGAAAAACAGATTGTGACCGAAAAACAATCACCAGGGTGTGTAGCATATTTGTGGCTATGTTCTTTCCTTTTTCTGTTCTCCCTGCAGATGGGGAGAGATGCAGAAATACAGGGATAATGGGTGAGGGAAGCCTTAGAATTAGCAGGGAACACCCCAGACAAAGTCCAGACTAACCAATGACCTTGGGCAGGTTACTGCTCTGTGCTTCACTTCCTCATCCAGGAAACAGACATCAAATGGGTTGCTCTGAAGATTAAATAAGCTAATATGCCCGTAAAGTGCTTAGAACCGAGCCTTGGCACAGAGAGTAAGGGCTATTATTATTTGTATTCCTTTTTCTAGGATGATTAGAATTGCGGCAACATGCCAATGTTGACGAATCTAATTGAAGGCCCAGAAGGGTATTTAGCGCTTCCATTGTCAGAGGGAAAGGATGATTGAAGCCATTCCTGCTTGGTGCAATCCATGAGCAATTAAGTGGTAATTGAGAAGGTTAGCGCAAAAGATAATTGCGCACCCTGGATGCCTGTGTTCCTCACAATCTTGTGTGTAATGATAGGTTTTTATATCTAGAGCACAAAATTACATGCTTTCTAACTGTAATGAAAAGTCATTTGTAATTTAGGTGAAAATTATATTTGATTAGGTCGTGAGTTGTGAGAAATAAATTAGATGCGTTCAGAAAGAAAAAAGTTTGAAAAAATTGGATGTACAGTATGAACCCAACCACATGATGTTAAAGCCCCTATACCTCCGTCTGTAAAGCACAGCACGGCTTCTGACTGGGGTCGAGCTAAAAGTCCAATTTCGCTTGAGTCGTCTGACAGCTCTCCTACGGAAGGATCCGTCAAACGGGAAGCCTGAGGAGACTTGTTGTGATGCTTGATTTTACGTGTCAACTTGACTGACCCTAGGGTGCCCAGATGTTTGCTTAAACGTTATGTCTAGCGTGTCTGCGAGGGTGTTTGTGGATGAGATTTGTGTTTGAATCCGTAGACGGAGCAAAGCAGATTGTCCTCCCCAGTGTGGGTGGGCCTCATCCAACCAGTGGAGGGCCCAAAGAGATCAAAAAGAGGAGGAAGTCCCTCTCAGCCTGGCTGTTGAGGTGGGACATCGGTCTTCTCCTGCCCTCAGACTGGGACTTACGCCATCGATGCTCCTGGTTCTCAGGCCTTCTGACTTGTTCTAGAACGGCACCACCCGCCTTCCGGGGTCTCTGCCTTGCAGACGGCAGACTGTGGGACTTCTCAGCCACCATAATCACATAAGCCAATTCCTCATAATAAATCTCTATATGCATATATAGAGTTTATATAGTATACTATACATAGTACAGTATATAGCATATATGTATAGCATATAGTATACTATATATAGTGTATATTTACATATATACACATATATACTATTTGTGTGTGTGCAAATATATATGTATATATATATATACATATATTAAATACTATTGATTCTGTTCCTCTGGAGAACTCTGACTAATACACTCCTGTGTGTGTATACATGTATATACATTCATGCATATATACATAAATATGCACATATACATAGATACATACATATATACAAACATATATGTGTATTTTGTACTATTATTATTTATTAGGTGGAGGTTCAGACATTTATAGACATTTTAGACATCCAGGACCGGGCAGGGCAGGTTGTGACAGACAAATCCTAAAATGTACAGAGAAAAAGGGGCCCCCTCTGAGAGCATTTGCCCTAATGGAGGAAGAGACCGGTAGAGCAAGCCAGGCCTGAAATGATCCCCAAAGGTTTGCAGTGGCTCTGGGTGCAACATCCTGACACCTGATACTCAAATACACCCCAGCTCAGCCGACCTGGCCCCAGGTAGATACAACAAGGAGAAAAAGTCTATGCAGATAACTGAAAGCATGGCCTCCAAAACTTCCCCTACACTTTGGAGCCCAAGCAACCACTCACCCAAATAAAGATGGCGCAGCTGGGAAAAGCTCTTCCCATCGCTGGTCAAGGTAATGAACCCCGTCGCGCCAAGGCCAGGGCCGGGGAGTCCCACCGCAGGGAGTAGCCCTGGCAGTAGCTTTCTGGCATGGAGGGGACCAGGGCAGCTGTGGCTGCAAAGCCGGCCATCAGATGGCAGCAGAGGCGGTGTGCCTTGGCAAGGGCAGCCCAGCCAGAGCTGTCAGGGCCTGCCGGGGCAGAATCAAGGCTGAGAAGCAGCACACAGCAGACAGTGCCGCCGAAAGCAATGTCCAGAACCTAAATCATACCCTCCCCTTAAAGACACTGAAAGACCTGGGAAGGGCAGCTCCACACGGGCTCGGGAGCGGTTGAGAGCTTGCTGTCAGTGGTACTGAGCCTGGGTTTGCATTCACTGGCTGGTGAAACCGGTGTGTTCCAGTTGGAGTAGTAACAAATGATAGTAAGTACTGTCTACTGAGCAAGGCTCACAGGCCAAGTTCTTCACGCGAATTCTTCTACTGTCGAAGCAAAGAACAGAACCAGAGCTCGGGGCTGAGGAAGGGATTGAAGTCGTGTTGTGGAAGCCTCGCTTCCTCTGGAGCCCTGTGTGGTAGGGAGGAGCCGGGCCAGTTCTCACCCCCGGAAAACAGACCTGGGGCCCACGTGGGGCTGTCGGCTCCCCCTGTGTGGGCAGCAGCGGTGGGGCCAGCAGGGCCTATTCTGACAGTTGAGAGGCGCACGCGCCTGTGGGGAGAGTCACACAATCCCCACTCCTCCTCCATTCCCAAGCGCCCTGTTGGCCGAGGCGTGGGCACTCTCACGGGTCACCTGACTCAGCAGTATCCAAGATGCAGGACTCGGAGCTAAGAGGCAACCTGAGAAGATCAGGCCCCTGTAGTTCACAGAAGTTTTCAGAAAGACTTTGGACTTCTCCCAGAATGAGGAGAGGAGGTGCAAAGAAACTATGATGTCAGCTGACACATTATGTAGATGAAATGAAGTACAGCTGGAAATATGCATGCTTGGGTACAACTGGGAGTCCACCACTTCTACTGGCACGAACCTGCTGGGTGAAATGAATAAACACAACATTTGGAAGTCTGGAGAGGCAGAGAGAAGGGAGGAGATGCCTGTCATAGGCATGCAGAACGGATCCCAAATGAAAATCCCCACTAGTGAAGCTGCTGCGATTCCACAGTAAACTATGTGGTCAGAAATGCTGTTATCAGAGATTGGAAAGCTTCAAGAAGTGTGCAGAGATTTTCCAAGATGGCAGACAAGGTGAGCTGTAGTTTGAAGACACCACTGAACATCACCTAAAGGAGCGGTGTCCCTGAGCATGGAAAATAGGCCCTGGGAGCTGTAAGGCACGTGGGTAAGTTAGAGAAGGGGAACGACAGATAGAATGGGGATAGAATGGGGAGCAGACCCATCCTGGAGGGGAGGCTCCAGATGTTAGGACAAAAGATGCTTCATTCTTCTCTGGGAGCTTCAACAGCTGGAACCAGAGCGGTCCCAGGAGCCCGCTGGGGAGAGGTCCAGCCCCTCTTCTTCTGACAGGCCCCACCCTGGAGATCTAATTCAGACAGACTCTCAGGAAGCCTGTTGGCAAGCACATCCCTGCTCCTACTCACCAAAGACCCAAAGGCGAGCAGGTGGGGACAGAGGGAGAGACACACAGAGCACAGGCTTCCAGCTAGCCTTCCGGGAGGCAGATTTACACAGGTCGGCCCTGTTGACCTTTGGTGGCCCTGCTGACAATTAGCAGCTTTCTCTACACATCTGTGCTCTCACCCAGCTCAGCAGGAATCTGGCCACACAGACGTATGACTCACACCAGCGGATTCCTCGTGGATCTTTGGGACTTAAAGGAATGCCAACTTCGTTATAAAAGAACTTCATTCTGCAATATTATAATTGAGATGTTGCTCCATTGTGCTATTTCCATGGAGGAAAAAATAATGTTTGTTCATTTTTTTCTGATCACAAAAGTCATAAAAGTTCATTGGAAAACAGCTGGAAACTCGGAAAGGTAGGAAGAAGAAAATAAAGTCACTCACAATCTGACCATTCATCCATTCCCCAGACAGACATTGAGTTCAGACCTTTTCAAGCCGGATCTGCTCTGGGCTGCAGAGATGAACAGAACTGGCAGAGCCCTCGCTCTTGTGCCGCTTACACACCAGTGGGGAAGCAGACAAGAGGCAACTCAATAAGCATAAAATATGGCGGGTTGTAATAAACACCATGCAGAAGAATAAACAGGGCACGGGGGACAGGAAGACTAATGGGGAGGGGAGATGTCCTATTTGGAGGGTCAGGTGACATTCTGCCAAGAAAGAAGCAGAGTGAACTTTGGGGAATTTTCCTTCCAATTTTTTAACTATACATAAATATTTATTATTTATGTATCATATTATTACATTATTATTATTTATTTGTTGCATTATTGGCTGCAAGTTTTAAGATTAAAATTTTTTAAATAAGCCTATTTTCTTAAAAAAGTAATATTTGTTCGTTGCAGAAAACCTGGAATATCTGGAAAAGTAGAGAGAGGACGAATCTCCCGCAATAGAATTACCACAGGGTAATCCTTCCACATGTGTTGGTACATTTCCCTCCTCTGTGTCGATTGTTAAACTCATGGTATTTACACTATCGAATCCTGCTTTTTTTCTCTTAACTCTCTCTCATAAACATTACCCCTCAGAGTCAGGGTTTTGAGAGAGAAAGTGCCAGAGGCCACCGTTTCCCTTCTATGCTGGAAAAGGCTTCCTAACAACCCAGGAGCCCTGCTCCCCTGACTGGCTGCCTGGGTGCCGCCCTATGTGGGATGACCCTGGGTCCTCCAATCAATGTGTTATTGAGAGAGCTTGACCCAAATAACAAGTCCCAGATGCCCACAAGTCAGGTCTCAGGCAGATGAGCCACCTTGTGTCAGACTCAAAGGGAGCTGAAGTCACCAGCAGGGCCGAGGCAGGTGGAGGTGAGGGAGAGTACAAACCCCCAGGGAAGTCAGGCAGGAACCGGAGAAAGGAGACATCAGCAGCAGGAATGTCTGTCCCTGGAGCCAGAGTGGATAGCTCTGCTATTCCGGAGACTGGGACAGCCCCAGACTTCCCCCTAAAGCTCCTACAAGAGAGATGCCATTGTCTTAGGAAGCCCCAAAGGGAGGAAGAGCTGCAGACAAGTTATAGGCTGCTGCTGTTCCCCCCTCCTCCTGCAGCATCTCCATCCCAACCACTTCCCTCTGGGTCTGGCCTTCCTCCTGCTTGCTTCATTGTCTTAGCAGAGCATCATTCTGGACCTATGACCAATCACATCCACCCCCAACCCTACCCAATTAGGTCAGTAGAGAGTTTTATAAGCAAGAGGTTGCTCTTCAGCAGCCTTTGAGCATGTCCACTAAACCCTAAGAAGGGTTTGGTTATCTGTGAAGGGAGAATGTGGCTGGTCCAAGGGTTGGGGATCCTCTCGGGCTCTGTGCTCATGTCCTGCCTATTTCACCATGGTCCAAATGGTCCAGGACTTTGAGCAGTCTTTGCTCATGCTCCTACAAAGTCCTGCTACTTTCTAGCTGTGTGTCAGTAAGCAAATTACTTACCCTTTCTGCGCCCCCGTTTCCAGGGACTGGTAGAAGTTGATCCTAGCATTCCTCAGTCCCGAAGTTCCATACAGTCAGAACGCAGGGTCAAGAAAAAAGAGCTGTGGGAGCCCCAAGGAGGCAGCAAGGAAATCCTGCTTTGGGAGAAGGCTGGCTGCAGGCATCAGGGGTGATTCCATGTAGAAGGTGTCAAGGAACTGGGCCTTGTAGCCCTTGTAAGATAGTTTTTAAGAGCATGACGTTGGGCCTCGGTGAGAAATGAGTTTGAATCCTGGCTCTGCCACTTACTGTCTGGGTGACCACGGGCACTCTAACCACCTCTAGGTTTCAGTTTCCTCATCTTACAACTAGAATAACAATAATGAATAATAAATAATAATAATCAATAATTAATAATAATAATAATGCCTATATCTGATAGGTTTGTTGTGAGCCTTAAATATATGTTCAGAGAGGTCAGCATCATAACTGGTGAGTGCTCAAAAGTTGTTCTAATTATCTTTACGTTATGATCCATGATTATTATTTACCAGGCGGAGGAGGGTCGGTGGAGGGCATGTCAGGCAGAAAGAGCACCATTAGCAGAGGCTTGACAAGACAAGGTGTGTTTAGAGAAGGGAGATCAGTCTGTGGGGCTGGAAAGTATGTTGGATGGACTGTGGGGCCTGGGAGTAGGACGGAAGATGAGGCTCCAGCAGCGCCCCACGCTGTTCCCTCTCTCACATTTTCTGGGAGCCCCACCACCAAACCAGGTGTTCTCTATAGAAATGCCAGCCTCACCCTCGCCCTCACCGGCCTTCAGCTTCTGCAGAGTGGGAACCATCTCTCTAGCTCCCCTACTTCTGACAGAGAATAGCCCTTGTCACCCTCTGCCTGGACAGCACAAGTGTCTTAAATGGCCCTCCTGGGCCCAGCGTTCCCTGCAGCACAAGTCCCACAGACCCCAGAGCCATCTCTGCAGAATGTCAGTGTGGTCGGCTTACAACCATTCCACCCTGCCCATCGCCTTAGCACAGAGTGCACTTACAAAGCCCTTCATGGGCCTCTTCTTCCCTCCATGTCACCCCCTCCTGTCCTAAAGTCTAGAGACAAACCCACCTGCCTTTACCCAAACGTACCACAAACTTATTTCTGGGCCTTTGCACGTGCCCATCCCCCTGTCCAGGATACCCTTGCCCATTTCTTCCCCTGCAAATATGTTTTGATCATTTTAGACCCAATCCACTCCCTTCCCAGTGTCATGGGGCTCCAGGACAAACCTTGATGCTGGAACCATTGTACCACGGGCTCCAAGGATGCATTAGCACCCCACCGCCGGCTGTGACCTCTCAGTTCATCTTTGCATCTTCAACGCCCATCACAGTGCCTGGCTTTTAAAAAAGGCTCAATAGAAACATGTGGAGTGATTGAGATTGGAAAAATAGGGCCAGAGCTTGGAAAGCCTTAAAAGCTACAATAAGGAGTTAAGTTAAGGGGAAACCACCAAAGATTTGGAGACCAAGAAATGGCATCCTGTGGTGTCTTAGGGAATTGATCATGGACAAGGAGAGGGCAGCCTGGATGTGCCCGGGATGGTGGGACTTCTCCACCTCCAGAGAGAAGCAGGGGGCAGGAGAGCAGTGA